ATATAATTTTTTTTTTGGCTAAGCCTTAATCAACATGCAGATATGACCCTTGTGACAAAACTTATAAATCAATCTATATATGCAATAATTAACTATTTCAAATTAGGTTCTAGCTAGAATAGGTTAAAGGAAACCTTTGAGTGATTGTCTGAACATTAAATTATGCAAGTTGTTAGAAAGTATCTCTGTAAGAGCCATTTTGTGATTAAGGATTTGATATTTATAGGTTAAGAGAGAGTTTTAGTATTGTTTAAAAGATTGAATAAAGTTAGTAAACTGATTTTGGTATGTTTAGATTTTAATGTGATGTTGCAAGAGTTTTCTCATTGGTGTTGATATATATTGCAAATAGACCAAAGATCTTGGTGATACCAGTTAATTAGTTTGTTTAAAAAATAAAATAGAAAAGTATCTGTTTGTTTATTAATAAGTGTTTTGATGTTTCATATATAGTAGTAAAATAAGTTTCAGTAATAGTATATAAAATATATTTGTATTAAGGATTTGAAAAATGAACTGTAAAATTTAAAAGAACATTTAATAGAGTTGTTGAAATTGTGTTAGTAATTTGGAATGATTAAAGAGTGTCATATATAATGTTTTCAAGTGATTATAGAATATTTGTGGTATTGCTAGAAATAAAAACAAGTGAAGAGTATCTTCAATGTTTATATAATAGAAACAATAAGGTGTAGTATAAAGGTAGATATAGCAAATATTAAGATTTTGTATAGTTGGTAAGTTATTAGTAAGAATTTTAATATGAAAAAAGTATTCTTATAAGTTATCTTCAAGAGAAGAGATAATTTTAAATAGAAGAGACCATTTAATATTGGTAATATTTTGAAAAAATTTTAAATTTGACCATTTGGCAATTTCTTAAATAGTTATAATATTTTTAATAAAGATGTATACTTTTAAGAAAATTAGAAGATTGTTTCATAAAAAGTAATTTAAAGTACTGAATTTTGAAATATTAAGCCTAATAATAGATTTTAAGGTTCTTTGTTTAGCAAGTGAATCTGCTTGATTGTAAAATGAGTCTGTAGAATATAACTTGACTTTATGAAAAGTGATAGTAACATTTTTAAAATATTTAAGATAATTAATATAGTAGATGATATCTTAGTTTTTAGTTTGTATAGATTTGGAAATGATAGGTTGTTTGAGATTTTTAATAGCAGTTGTGTTATTAATATAAATATTTAAAGAGGTATTAGATGAAGCTACAAATAAAAAATAAAGAACTGCTTCAAGTTCAGTACAAGTTGAATCAGGATAGGATTATATAGTTGCATTGAATTTTATTAATATATCATATTTGCAAATTCATCCTATATTAGATTTTATATCTGGAATTTGAAAATTTTTGATTGATCTATCAATATAAAAATGTAGTTTATTTGTATTAAGTTGGAAAATAAGGTAGTTAAGATTAATTAATTGTTTTTGATATATTAATAAATAGATGAGTTGTTGGATAAGTTGAGCATCGTAGAATAATAAAATTATTTGTAGTTGTAATAAAAAAGGTGGTTAAGAAGAAGTAAAATTATATATATTGATTAAAACTAAGATTTCTCTAAAATCAATTTAAATGATTGTTTGATCATTTGATTTGTTGGTTAGATTATAAGATAAATAGAAAGAATGGTAGTTTGATGTAAGATGATCAGAAATTGAGAGAAGCTATAAAAAACCTAAGATAGATAGAAAGATTTTAAAGAAAGAAGGTTCTTAAAAAATGGTTTAATAAGAGATATAGAATAGTTGATAATTTGTATAATAAAGTTAATAAAAAGAAAAAGAGTTTAAAAATAAATATAGTAATATTAATTTAGTTGTGTTAAGAAAGAGATTTGTAGAAGTTAGATTTAGAGTAGGCCAATTTAGATTGATAGAATTAGATTGGTTTAGTTATAAAATTTAAGTAAACTATTGTAGTTGATAATCTTTAGTTGATTTATTTGTATATAAATATATATTGTTCTATAGAAGAATATTTTTGTTATTTGCAGTTGTAATTTGTTTTAAGAAAATAATTTTGTTGTTTCTAAGACTATTAATAGTAGTAATGGGTAGATTAAGAGGAAGGATATTATAGATAGTATGAGAGTTTTTTGGTATTGATGAAGGATAAAGAGAGATTTGTGAATTAATTGTAGAAGAGATATTATTTAGAGCAAGTTGAGAAAGGTGAAAAAGTAAAGTATAGTTTTATGGTTATAGTAATAGTTAATTAAAATATTAGTTGAGAGTTAAGGAGACTATATTTTAATTAGCCAGTCTTTAATTCATTGTATACCAATGTTTTTGAGAATTGGTAATGTGTTAAAAATACATTCAGTATTAGATGCACTAACTTTTTGAAACATTCATTTTGTTAAAATGTTTGAAATCTATCAAACTGCTTATAAATCTAGAAATTTTAGTTTTGTTTACATTTTCATTAGAATCTTATAATAAATATATTAAAAATATTCTTTTTTTCAGCTAATAACTGTAATACAAACTGTAAAATAACTAATAATTTAGCTCTTTTACTTGTTGAATGCACATTATACCATCTAAATTTAGTTATAAAAGATCTTATAAGTACTTCATCTATTCTTATAAATCAGATTTATACAATTGTGTATATAATAAAAACTTATAAAAATTATAAAAAACTTACAAAGGTAATATTAAAACTACTATTATACAATGCAGCATATTGAATAAATGTTATGAAAATGATTAAATAATTTAAAAAACTTGTTCTTCATATTACTCAAGTTAACAGATTTTCAAATTATTATTATTTTATAAAAACATAATACATTTTAAAATAAAAAAATTAATTCAATTTTAATTACTAGAAGTAAAAATAATTAAGATCAAAGTTTGTTATAAAATTTGTATTATTATAATATAATTTTATTAATATTCTTTAACATTATTAGCTTACCTACAATATTTTTTCTTTTATATAATTTTTGGCTAATTAAATCAAAGAATAAGATGTAATATAGAATTAAAACAATTAAATTAAGTAAAAAATTTTAAAGTAATAAGCTTTATCTTCAAAATTAGAATTAAGAATAAGAAAAATTATAGCTTACACTAAAATTTTATAAAAAAATTTTTTTATTAGAATGCAGAAAGCAGTTTAACAGTAATTTTTTAAAAAAACAAATTTTTATATTATATTTAATTATTTAATCTAATTAGCTATAGTTATATAACAGAAAAAGTCTTATAAATAAGCTATGAGAGTTATGATCTTTATACTAATTATGTAACATAAATGTTAAAACATAACTGATTTATTTAATATATTTTTTAATATTATTAAGTATTTTTTTTATATATATATCTAATAAGACTATAAAAATACAGAATCAAATTTTTGGTTAATTTTAATATACTTATCTAGTCTGTTCAGTGGCATCTATTTGATGAGTCTGAGTTGGAGATTGCCAAATCATAGTTTTGCCAAAATTCTATATAGAATTTACTCTATAAGCATAAATTTTTTATTTTCGACAAATATTCAAAAATAACAACCGAAAATTCGGTTATAAACAAAAAAAAAAAGATTGTAATGAAATTGCAAAGAAAAGTGTAATAAATAAAAGAGAATTGTAAAAATTATAAAGTAGGACATTTTGAATCAAAAACATTTATATAGGCCAGTTAGTATAAAAGCTACTACTGTATAACTAGAAAATGCGCATGGGGAAGCTTCGGTCCGGTTTTAACAGATTAGATATAACAGGCGATGTAATACCAATTATCGATAATATAATAATAAAATAGATTGAAATTTTAAATTACTCCTTATTTGATGCAACATGCCAAAAAACATAAGACTAGCCTTGATAAATCATAAGTATATAAATGAAGTTAATCAATCTCAGATTTTTAGCAATTTTATTTTTATATAAATATCGGCCCGCTTAATTTGATTCTATATTTCTTTATTTGCATTGGCTTATCAAAACTTTATAACTATTCAAGTAAATAAAGTTTCAAGAATTTTTATTACTTTTAGTTATCGGCACAATAGTATATCTATTACACGTCACTCTATTATATCGACACTGTCAAAAACAAAGAATTGCCTAATATATCAAGATACCATTTAATCCTAAATATGCTAAAAATGTAATATGTATGGGTATGGGCAGATATGGGCAGATATTTCTTTTTATAATGAACTGATTATTCTGGATGAAAAAAGTTCTTTGCAGAAAATTTAGTTTTTAGAAATTTGTATAATAAATGGATGCAAATGGAACGCCCATAATCAAATCTTATTCATGTTTTGTAGTTTATAAATTTAGAGGGATGAACGTGAGTTTTTCCTTAAATTAAGCTTGTCAAATTATTTGCTACGCGATCAACGATTATCAGTTCACTTGCCCTTTAAAAGATTTTAAAAGATACATACGCAGAAATACATTCATGAGTCTAGATAAAAGCCAATAAAAATGTACCGTAAACTGCTAGCTCGTATACCCCCATATGATTTATACTCGGTTAACATTTTAGGCTTAATTTTGGTTTATACCCGATATTACTACCTGAGAACTTTTCTGCGCAGAATAATTCTGTGCTCTAAATTGTTAACCGTATAACCAAACATTGCTATTTTTTTTTTGGTCATCTATTTCCATTTTCATACTCCCTATATATCTTTTCTTGTTTCTTATGTATCTATTATACTATTCACGTACGTATGTATGATCAATAAAACATTTGAATAGCTTTCTTTTTACGGTTTCATAAGTGAAACGTCCAATCGTTTTAGCGAAAGATTAGATAGATAACATATAGTTCATAATCGTTAATAAAAATATATGTAATAAATTTAGACATCCATAATGACAAGTCTAGACAATGTCAAATTCTCCTTGTTCTGTGTAGATAACCAGTCAATATACACATTTTTTTTCACCGGTCATTTATATTTAATACGAACATTCTCTCAACTTTTGATTTTTAAAAATTTGAGTTAAATGACAGACGTTCAGATTCCTGATATCTTCGAGGGCACGGTGATCAAACGTGGTGATGTTAACTACGAAAGTGAATGCTACCAGAATGCATCGAGCTCGTACATGAAAGAGGACATCATTCGACCGATGGCTATTATAAAGGCAGCAAATGACGACGACGTGATACAAGCCATTAAATACGCGAGCAAAAACAAAATCGCTGTAGCCGTTCGCACAGGAGGTCATCAATATAGCGGAGCGTCATCCACAAATGGAAAAAATATTCAACTCGATTTATCCCAGACGTACAAGGATTTTCAATGGGATAATGAGGATTGCACATCAGTGATTTTTGGTATTAGCTTCTCATTGAACGATTTCAATGCCAAGCTTAGGGAAGAAGATCGATTTGTGCCACATGGTCAATGTTCACAAGTTAATATAGGTGGACATATCCAAACTGGGGGATACGGTCAGTTGGCCAGAAGTTTCGGGCTCCTCTCGGATCATGTCGAAAAATTCCGCATTATTACCGCCAATTGTCAAACGCAATGGGTTTCCCGCAACGATGATTTGTTCTTCGCCGTTTTGGGTGGAAGTCCTGGAAATTTTGGGGTGCTTACCCACATCAATCCGAACGTTTTCAGAGACCAAGACTACCCGAATTCTCGCGGCTTCAGAGCCATATGCCCATACAACCGGGACAGTCTCAAGGGATTGTTGGATATAATGGTGGGTATGGCAGAAGATGATGAGTTCCCTGCTGATTACAACTATTGTGTCTCGGTGATTGATGATCCGCGATTTCCTACGTCTTCTGAGTTAACCTACGACCAGAGATATAATAAAAAAAAAGTTTTTGTGCAACAGGAGGTAACTTGGACCCGGATTATCATCATTTTTGTGCAATGGGCCAATCTGGAAGGATCTCAGCAAAAATACAACTCGGATTTCGTCGACAAAATTCGAAAGGCAGCTGGCATTAGTGATTATAACGCCAAACAGCTAGTTCAAGTCAGTGACAAACATTACACACCAATGTCTAAGTTGACCGGCGACTGGATTGTTCCAATGGAACGAGCGTTCAACCTTCCATACTTCAAGCGTGCATACTCGTCCAATTCCAGCTCTGAGAGACTCAAGGAATTCAATTGGACAGAATGGGTTTGCGATCGTATTGATAAAAAGGATACAATCAGGATTTGTCCTTATCAGCACAATTTCAGCATTTTGGTGGCTCCAAATCGCGATTTTTCCAAAACGGAAAGAAAGGTTTCACGTCTTTCAGTTGGAGAGACACTCGCCTTGTCTGGACGAGTGATGCATATTACCATGCCCACCTGTACAAAAAGGCGAAAAATTGGGTGAAAAGAAACGATAAAAAGGGGGTTGGAAGTTCGGATGCTATATTTTGCGAAGATGATCGTCGCTTTTTGTGGGGCTCGCACGATTTGGACCTAAGTGCTGCTCAGAAGTATTATTACGACCGATACCCTAAAGTAAGTATTTATTAATTTGATACAGGGTGTGAGGTAATGTTGTTAGTCGAAATTACTGTTGTTAGCGAAAATATTTTTGGTAAATGAAACTAAACCTGAAACTGGCGAAACTATGACAAAATGTCGAAACTCTGACGAAACCTGGGTAAAGCTAAAACCCCTGGAGAACATCAAACACAACGAACCATGTTAAAGCAAAATATTTTGTGTGTGGCTATTAAGCACAGCATGTGGCTTATATAAAAATGTACAAAAGCGATAAACAAAACGATATCTTTTCGTTTGTATTTGAGTACTACAGTATTAAAAGAAAATTACACTTCAGGCTTTTGAACTTATAAATCAATTCAGCTTTGAAAATTCAAAGTCTGAAATATTGTTTTCTTTTAGTAGCATTTATCTATTATGTATTAATATTATTTGTACGGTGCGGAACAGCATAAACCTACACCTTTTTTTTAAATTACATAATCAATTTATTAATTTTGATTGGCTAATATAATCCAATCAATTATGATCTTTTCTAGCAAAATTGTAGCTTAGACTTAAAGCTACAAATTAGCTAAAAAATTTTTTTGTTCTTAAGCTATGTCAATTTTTGAAAATATAGATAAAAGGTGTTGGTTTATGATGTACCATACTGTATAAAACAAACTTATTTAAATACGTATTTAAATAAATTTATTATATTTTTAAAACTTTAATTAAATACTTACTTATGTAAGTAATTTTTTAATATTATTAGTATCGGCAATTATTTCCCGATGTTCTATTTTATCTGACCTAAATCTCAGGACTATTTTCAAGGAAATAATTGTTGTATTATTAACTTATAATAGAAAAAATTTAGATTAATGATCAAAAAGCATATATACGTCAGTATGATCATGCACGTATATATGATGACTTTCTGTTCTTGCCTTTTTTACTAATTTTCTTATCCTTTACTAATTTCATTACCTTTTCACCTTTTAGCAGTTTCATCAGTTTCATCAGTTTCACCAGTTTCGCCAGTTTCGTCATTTCGGCATTTTCACTTTTTTTTTGCCAAAAGTCGAAACTAGTTTTGACTTCCGCCTGTGCTAAAACCTCTAGGTTTGCCTAACAACACTAGTCGAAATACCCTATTTAGCCAAACATTTAGGCAATTTTGTGTCGAAATATATTTCGACATAGCATTATTTTTTGTCGAAATGTCAAAATCCTAAATTTGACTAAGTGCCTAAATAGTTGACTAAATAAATATTATATGACGAAATGTCTAAATTAATGACTTGTATATTAAAAGTAACTAGTTGTAGAAAAATTTTCAAAAGATATCTTTTAGAAAGTATATATAATTAAATCTGCTTGATAGGACCAGCAACCGTTTTTGATCAAATCTATTTTGTATATAGCATGCAATCCACAAAAAAACAAGTTCGGATACTTGCTAATAAATAGGGTTATAAATTTTTTTTAATTTAGACAATTCGATATTATTTAGACATTTCGGCATTATGTCATTATTTTGGAATTTTGGTAGACTAAATCAAATGAACAGGAGGAACCGTCGATGTTACACTAATGATTTTTCACCCGGTGTGCAGCATATAAAAAAATCATTTTACAAT